GGGGCACCAGTGTGGGCTCCATGCTGCTGCTCACTGCCACTTCCTCCCTGTCTGCCACTGCTGCCTTTCTGTTCCGTCCCAGCTGCTCCTGTGCAGCTGGCAGTGGGGGGAGGAGGGAGCAGGGAAATGGCTAGGGCAGGTGCAGGGGAAGGGGCAGCGAGCAGGCACGTGAAGCACAGTGACAGCCAGGTGGGAGTGTGGGGCCCACACCGGTGCACATGGGCCAGTGCAGGATGGCAGGAGCACAGAGCAGGGGCTGTTTGGGGCTCTATGGAGCTAGGCTGGTTCCCTCCGCTCCCTGTTTCAGCACCATAGCCCGGCTCCATAGAGCCCCAGGCAGCCCCCACCTCATGCTCCTGCTACCCTGCCCTGGGCCCCACTGGTGCTGGCCCCAGTGCAGGCCCTGAACTCCCGCCCAGCTGTCACTGCACTCCATGTGCTTGCTTGCTACCCCTCCCACCTGCCTGCCACAGCCATTTCCCTGCTCTCCCCCACCTGCCTGCCTGCTGGCACCACATGGTTCTCAGCTGCAGCACTGGGACTGCAGGAGCTGGCCCAGCTGGCCCCGAAGACTGGGGCGATTGCCTGCAGTCCTCCCCTACCTCCCTCCCCACCCCTTTTTTATCTGCATTTCCCTCAGTGCGGGGTGGAGGGGGGAGGGAGGGGAGGGTGTAGGGCCATGCCAGACCTCCTTCTCCAGCCACTTGATCCTGCCAGAGGCTCCCCCGGGTCCTACTTCCCCTGGCTCCTATCATCTTTGACAGGCAGCCAGGGGCAGATTAACAGATTCATAGATGCTAGGGTCAGAAGGGACCTCAACAGATCATCGAGTCTGACCTCCTTCCTGGGCAGGAAAAAAGAGAGCTGAGCTCAAATGATCCCAGCCAGATACCTATCCAGCCTTCTCTTAAAGACCCCCAAGGTAGAGAGAGCACCACCTCCCTTGGAAGCCCATTCCACATTTTGGCTACCCTTACCACGAAGGAGTTTTTCCTGATATCTAGCCTAAATCTGCTCTCTGTCAGTTTGTGGCTATTTTTCGTCATTACCCCAAGAGGTGCCCTGGTGAACAGAGCCTCTCTGATCCCTTGCTGTGTCCCCCTAATTAATTTGTAGGTAGCCACAAGATTACCTCTCAGCCATCTCATGCAGAGGCTGAAGAGGTCCAGGTCCCTCAGTCTCTCTTCATAGGACTTGTCCTGTAAGCCTCCAACCATGAGTGGCCCTCCTCTGGACCCTCTCGAGTCTATCAACATCCCTCTTGAAGTACGGCACCCAAAACTGGATGCAGTACTCTAACTGTGGTCTCACCAATGCCTCAGAGGGGAAGTATCACCTCCTTGGTTCTATTTGTCATGCATCTGCTGATGCACGATAAAATGTGGTTAACTTTGCTGATGATTTCATCATACTGACGACTCATGTTCATGCTGGAGTCCACTATGAATCCAAGATCCCTTTCCACTTCTGTGCTGCTGAGAGGGTCACTTCCCAGCCAGTAGGTGTGCTGGATATTTTTGCACCCAAGGTGCAGCATTCTGCACTTGTCCTTGTTGTACTACATCCTATTGTGTACTGCCCACTTCTCTAACCTGTCCAGGTCTGCCTGCAATCATTCCCTACCCTCTGGAGTGTGCACTTCACCCCACAATTTAGTATCGTCCACAAACTTGGACAGACTACACTTCACACCCACATCCAAGTCACTGATGAAGATATTGAAGAGTACAGGTCCAAGGACCAAACCCTGTAGGACCCCACTACCCATATCCTTCTAGGTCGATACCAACCCATCTACTACCACTCTCTGGGTGTGACTGCTAAGTCAATTTGCCACCCACCGGACCGTGTAAACATCTGTTACAGCCTCTTAATTTATTTATGAGAATAGGATGAGATACTGTTAATAAATTAACTAATATTCATTTTCTAAATTTTTTAGGGGCCCCACAGGCCAGATAAAATGGCCTGGTGGGCCAGATCCAACCCACAGGCCATGTTTTGCCCACCCCTGCTCTAATTGTTAGGCCCAGACATGTGAGAAATATGCCAATGCAATGATAGAAAGTTAAGAAAGCACTTAAAAAATAAACCCTTTCAACTTACCAGCATCATCATAAATTAAGCCCAACCATACCCATGTAGCTAGGCCACCTAAAGAACGAAGCTGCTCAACAACAAAGTTGTTTTCTTCCTCATCTCTAATATTCAAAACAAATGCATCCGGATCTGTTGAAACAAATTTTTAAAATGATATTTTATCATTCATTACAAATTTCAAATACATCACTGTTTTTACTACTACTGTTTAATTAGCACATGTGAACATATAAAAATTCTTAAGAATGGACAAAATAGGCAGATACTAAAATGTTAAGAAAAAAAACACTAATTTTCAACTCTGCCTGTTTGGTACACATCCTGTAGATAAGCAGAGGATTTAGCCCACTGAAGCTCACAGCTTTCATGAACATTATATTCATTTAAAGCCTTTAGGTAGTAAAAATTGGACCTCTTTTAAAGAAAATGGATCAAAACGTCTTCAGTTGTTCAAAATGCCTTGTGGGCTTCATACCCTTTGTGTTACTATAGCTGAAGTGTTGTAGTCATGGTGGTCCAGGAAATGTGAAAAGCAAGGATTTTTAGCAATACCTCTTATTGGACCAAACGAACAAGAAACATGTTTGCTTCTTGTATGCCTTGTCAGTTTGCTTATGGGCAGCTGAAAAAGACACTCAATTTGAAACCTAGTAACTGAAAAAGTTAGGATTTTTTTGTCCTTAAATTGTCCTGGCCAAAGGTGGTTAATATGGATAAGAAGATACGCTTGAAGTAAAGCCCGCGCTTTGTTGAGCAAGCCTGGGCTTACTCACATGTTTAAGTGCTTTCCTGAATTAGGCTCCCACAAAGGAAACTCCTTGTTTACATGCATTCTTTACACAGAAACAAGGGAAAACATTTTTAAAAGCTTGGCTGTAAGCAAGAAAATTGCCAAAGGAAGTTGAAGGACAGTGTAGTATCCAAAAAAAGTTTATAGCACTTATTTTGAAAGCATCTAAATTTCAGTTAGTGTCCCCTCATGTCTATCCTTTTTCATTTCTAAAGCAATTTATTAACAGGTTCTCAAAAGCAAATAACTCCTATTCAAGATTTTTTCAAATTCTCACCCATTTGCTCTAGCATCTTTACCACTCTGAGCAGCCTGTAGAAAAGTCTAATAGGAACCAGGGGTCAACAATAGGAAAGACTCTGCAAAGCCACACAAAAAACCCTACCTGTTCACTTAAACATACCTCTGTATGTATAATAAGATCTAAAAGACTTCATACAAAGCAATACAAAAGTAAAAATAAAGAAGTTAATTCTTAGTATGAAGTACTTACTCATTTTTTTGCATAAATGATGAGCTTCTTGAGATCTCAGTTCTCGCCATCTGTCATTTGTTACCATGAAAGTGTAACAACTGTTCTTAAATGATATCCATGGTGTATTTTTAACTTTGTGTGGACATGTAATATGTTCAACAACTTTTTCTTTTTCAGTTTCATCTGGAAAGAAAAAAAAAAAAGACATTCTCTCAGGACATAATTTTAAACCACTCAGCCTATTCTTCACAGAAAATTCTTATGTAACATTAATATCCATTACAAAACATAAAACTAAGAACCCAGACACATCAACACCAACATAACTTACATTGACTTTGTAATCCTATACTGATTCTAGCGAGAACAGATAAACAGCCTTCTGGGATAGCCAGGGGTGAATTCGGGTTTTGGCAAAGGGGAATGCAGAAGCAGCCATGCCCACTGTACAGGCAACTGCACCCCTCCTCCTAGCCTCCTCCCCCTAAACTGGTAGGGATATATCTTGCTGTGGCAGGCTCTAAGAATCCCCCCTTTCCCCTCCATGCTCAGAGGCACATCCTCTCTGAACCCCAAAGTCTCTACCTCACCTCCTGCTGTTATTGCTTTCTCCACTATCTCGGTGAGCTGAGATGCTACAAAGCCACTCTTGCTCCCTCCAGCTGGGGTACAAGTGGTAGTGAGATGGGCAGGGGGTGGGTAGGTTCCCCCACCCTGTCTAGTCCCCCAGGAATCAGAAGCAGGAAAAGGGAACCCCTTGCCCATGCTCTCCTGCTTTCACTATTCCCAGCTGAGTCTACCCCAGGAACAGCTTTGAAGCTTTATCCCAAAGATTGGCAGTAAAAGGGGGAAAAGCAGCAAC